ATGGCCTTCCGTAAAGCTATCAAAACCTGGCTTTTCCGGCAGACCTGGGGCTGTTCACCTCTTGATTGAGGTCCAGCCCCGCTTAGACTGGGTGCATGTTGTGTTTCTTTTTTTAATCCGTTGTGTCTTATTTGTTTTAATCCTTTTTAATATTCCTTATTTCTGTAAGCCGCCCGGAGTCCTCCGGGATTGGGCGGCCTATAAATTCAATAAATGGAAATGGAATGGAGAGGAGCTTACCTGTCACAAGCAACAGTCCACTTCCAAGCTGCTTCAAGAAAACCACCCGCTGGGAACACAAAGACAGAGGGGAGGGGGTCAGTCGCTGGGATCTCCGCCTGCCTCCTGAACGCCCCTAACGAGAGGAGCCCCCAAGGCCCCCCCTTACCTTGCCCCTGTGGCGGCCAGTGAGAAGGATCACCACTGTTCCTGGGGAGATCGAAGCCCGCAGCCGCCTCTTGTGGAGGGCAAAAGTTTTTTTGCCGTGGCTCAGGAGTTTGCGGGGAACGTCCTCCGTGGGGTAGTATCTGGGCTGCAAGGAAAAAAAGAATTTAAGAACCTTTGCTAAGAATCAGAGCAGCCTCTGGAACGCAGAGGACAGCAGCTTCCCTCGGCCACATCGTTTCGGCCACAGGCTCTTACCATCTTGCGGAGTTTGACCACCCGGTTGCCTCCGTTCTTATCACCCCCGACGGGCTTTGTGACAGTGGCTCGCTCCTTCTCTTTCTTCTTTTTTTCTATCTAGGGTATAAAAAAAAAACCACACCAAAATTGTACCCCGTCATTCCTTCACCAATTTGACTCCCCCGTCGCAGCCCTGGTGGATAGCCTGGGCAAGATTGACCAGCCCAAAATCCCCCCACCCCTCAGTGAGGTCCCTGGTGTCCCCAACGCCAGTCTCTTAACAGCCCAGTCTATCTATCTCTCTCTCTCTCTGTTTGACTTCGGTGAGTCAAACTTGTAGGCAATGAAAAAAAAACCTAATTTGTGGCTGGAGCAATTCTGCAATCTGCATCAGGCCACCTTAATGTCCCCCATGTTTAACAAGGAGCGTTATCTCATTTATCCCCAGTAGGATTAAGGCAGATCAAGAAAGGTTTGTCCATGAATTATGGCAGATTAAGACCAATTGCTTTTGAAACACTCATCTTCCATAGTTTCTCAACCATAGCAGTTTGAAGATGGGTGGACTTCAACTCCCAGAATCCCCCAGCCAGCATGGCTGGACGGGGAATTGTGGGAAATCCTCAGGCTGCCAAATGGTTTATACCAATCCATCCCCCCCCCCCATCCACTGTGCCAATTATTATCCAGCCTCAACACTTAAGAGTTGCAAAGTCTTCCCCCTTCTCCTCCTCGTACCTTTGTCTCCGGCGCGTTGTATTTCCGCTTGTACATGGCCTTCCGGGCGTACATGGCCGACCGGGAATATTTCCCGATCCCTCGGGCCAGTACCGGATTGCGGCTGGCGTGGACCTTCCGGACCCTCCTCGTTTTCTTCTCGCCGGCCATCTTCTCGCCTGCCATCTAACCCAAAATTTAAAAAGCGGAAATCCATCCATTTGCGATTCGTAACCCAAGGAAAGCCACAGAGGGCTCTGAGACCCTGCATGTCAGACACAATTCCCCTCTTCCAAAACGTTGCAAACCGGTTGCACAGCTACACCAGATACATCCCTTTTTTGCAAACATATAGTTTGCAAGGAAAAGTAACTAAGGTAGTAAACTAGTTAGGAAGCATCAAGGAATTATTGGGACCTCGAGCTACGTTTCAGTGAGTAAAACCTTGCAATTTGTAGAAGTCCCTCAATGGAGGCAAACCTGCATTCCGATTAACGGCTTGAACATCCCAAGGTTTTTGGACGCTATAGAAAACGTCTCCGCCCCGGGTTCAGAAGCCACCCGATGCACGAGGCTTCCAGGGAATCTGCCACTCGGGGCGGGCAGAGGAGGCTGGATCCGCTTCCCCGGCCAGGGAAGGAGGCTACTCCAAAGGCCGAGGAGTCGTTCCAGGCCCAAAAACCTTCCTCTTTGGAATGGGCATCCCTGGGGCGCCCCCTCCTCGCTTGCAGCGGCCTAGGCGGAGCGGCTCCGGTTCGGGGTGATACGGCAGCCCGGGGAGAGCCGGCCGGCCTTCTCGCCGGCCTAATCTTTCGCTCGGCCCTAGCAGAAGCAGCCCGGCGCCGCCCGCCCAAAGCCCCCCGGAGCATCCCCGCCCGTCCTATGCCCGGCCCGGCCGTTCTCCGAGGCGGATGGCGACGGATGCGAAGGCCGGGCCCCAGGAGGACAGCGCCGCGGCCGCACCATCCTTACCTTGGGCAGAAGGCAAAAGAGGCAATATCCGGCGCCTCGGCGCTGAAGAGCAGGCGCGTGACGTCACCGGACGTGCCCCCCAAAGCCCTCTGGGAGAGGTAGTTCGCTTCGTATACTCTGCGCCCTCCCGAGAGCTAAACTCAGAATTCAAAGCGGTTTTCCTCCGTCATTCGCGCCATTCACGTTTTGTCCCCTACAGGCCTTATTAAGGGTTCATCGATTCCTGTGCTGGCTGGAGAATTCTGGGAATTGAAGTCCACAAACCTTAGAAAGTTTGAGAAACACTAATTTAAAGCTTATCATAATAGAAAAGCTTTCCCCTATCTTGGTAAAATAGTTACGATTCCTGCGGCGCAACAATGATGATGATGATGATGATGATGATGATGATGA